TGAGCGCCGGGGGGGGGGGGGGGGGGATGCTTTCTGCATGAAAAACATATCGGGGCCAGGGTAACCGAACTTGAACTTAAGGGGGGGCAGGGGGAGGAGAAACCGGGTAAATTCAACCCAACTCACTTCGGAGAGCAATCCAGCGACCAAAGAGACGGCTTGCCGGACCAGAGCCCCCCTTCCGAGCCGCGAAAGTGGAGGTGGCTGTGCAGCGGAGCGGAGTGGCACGGCATGAGAAAGTGCACCGCCACTTCTGAGGGAGCGTCACCATCGTCACCCCCTTTCCCCAGCCGCGGGGCCCCTCCGGCCTCCCAACCATCGCCCGCCGCCGCCGCCGCTATCTTTGATGCCACGACGGCGGGGACCCTCTCCGCCACGGCGTCCACCGCCGCCAGCGCGCCTCCCTGGTGCCACACCGAGAGGTACACCGCCGCGGGGACGTGCAGGACGAACAGGGCCACCGCGATCGCGGTCCCAAGCCGCCGCCGCCGCCCTTGCGGTGGCAGCCCTTGCCGTTGCCGATTGCTCGCAGCAAGAGGCCCCGCCGTCGTCGCAGGGGTGGCCAGGAAGGCCGAGACCGCTTGCCCCGCGTAGGCGTGCGCGATCGGGAGCACCGGGAGGAGGAAGCGGAACTCCTTGTGGGGGCTGGTGCTGTGGTACGCTGTGCGTGGACACATGAGTTCCGAAAAAAAAAACGGAAGGGAACCGTTAGGCGCACAGGCACGAGAATCGCAGGTGTTTAGTACTTGTAGCGTATTGTTATGTAGCACCCAAGAGGGAAAGGCAAGAGGGGTGCGGTTGGTGCAAGGCATTTTCCGGTCAAGTCAGATTCCAGTTGCTGGCGACATCTGGCGCTTTGCTCTCGAGAGAGCCTTCGTTGCCGTGGATAGGAAAAGCTCTCCCACCCTGACGAGCAGCAATCGTGTGAAAACTTGGCCAGGACCATACCATACACCCTCTTGGGCAACAAAAACAGACAGAGCATGCTCCGATTGTGTAAAAATGAGAGCATGGAACTTCTGCATTGATGAAGAATATGGCGGTGTAGGTCCTGCTCCTTCTCAGGCCCTCCACTACATGGCAATCCGTAACACAAAAAGTAAGGATTAGTAGTCCGCTTTCGGAGAAAGCACTTCGGGTAAAACAAACTAGGAATTCGTACGTAGGCTGGTGGTCGGCTTCCGTCTTTTTCGAATACACACAAAAGTAGATATGAAAGTGTGACCAAACCTTTCCGTTCGTCAGCCGGTTAGCGCGTTTCATGGGAGTAAATCATACGCAACCCCGAAACACGGCAGCAGTGGTCGACAGCGGGTAGAGGCTCGCAGCGTTCCTCTTGCGTACACACTTAAAGATGGTGTCAAGGCAACTCTCGTGTGGCCTACATTTCAGCGGTACCTCTTATTTAGCAAACTCTGGCCGTCTTCACAAATCAACGGTGGTACTTATACTTATGACTTCACACGCAGCAGGCTCACCCAGAAACCAGAGAGCAAGCCAACCAAGCCGGCGGCGGTCACCACTCCCCGCCCCCCCTCCCACCCCCCCCTCGCCAGAGGGCCTCCAAAGCCCCCACAGCGCCGGCGGCAGCGCCGCCCCAAGGACGGCCGGGAGTCCCTGGGAGAAGTTCCAGTGCCAGGGCTGTTCGCCGAAGATCCGGCTCTTGCCCTCCAGCACGTTGAAGCGGAGGAAGTTTAGGGGGACCAGCGTCGCCGTGCCGTAGAGCTTGGAGTCGAGGTAGAAGGAGGCGCCGACCACGGTCGCCACGGGCGGGAGCACCGTCAGCGCCAGGTAGCGCGGCCAGCGCTTGATCGGCAGGGTCGAGAGGCGGAACATGCCCGTCACCGCCTGGGGAGCGGGAGTGGGGAATTGAGAAGCGGGAGGACAGGGCGCAACACTAGAGATAAAACTTGGCAGCCTTCTCGTGGAGATACGATACGAGATCGAAGTTGTCCAGTGGAGATACAGTATTGTAGGGAAGAGACCGCGTGGTTGGACTAACCGACCGTGCGGTTGGACTAAAAGTCTTGCACGAAAAATCTACCGCCAGCTTCTTCCTCCCCCGGCACTCACAGGCCCAACCTAAAACTCCAAGGTAGGCAGTTAACCAGCGAAAAAGGTAGGAGTCTTACCCACAGCGCCGCGCTGGTCGGTCGCACGGCGACGCACAGGGCAGCGAGCAACAGGGCACAAGTCTCCCCCCGCGTGCCTGCGCTATCCCTCCTCCCGACAGCATCCCCCCTCGCGCTCTTCCTGCATGCCGACAGGATGTGAGGAGCCCATTGGAAGAGCGCGGCGGTGGCGAGGACGGCCTCCGCGCTGTTGGAGTAGGGCCGCACGAGGCAGTAGAAGTTGAACCAGGACAGAACCTGGAAGAGGAGGGCCCAGCCGGCAGCGGCGGCGCCGAACGCGCGCAGCGCTAGCCCGAACGCGCAGTAGTCGCACACCCCGGCCATGACCCCCTGGAGGAGCTTGGGGGAGTGGGCCACCGCCCACCTCGTGTCCAGGCCCTTTCGTTGTGGTGTTTGAAAGAGGTGGAGAGGGAGTTTTTGATGGTGTTGCCTCGCGGTCAACACGCTGATGTCTCGCGGTCAACATGCATGACGATCGGAGTGCCGGCATTTTGGGCAAAAAACAATTTACATCTTCAGCGGTTTCTGTTCCTCACAGCAGTGCGCGACCGGTGGTCATTCCTGTGTTGAACAAACATAGATAATGGTTGCATACACACCTCTACCGCTAACCGCTACCGCCGTTCTTGTGGTGGTCGTGCTGATATCTCACCAAGATCTGGAGCGCCTTGTACACGGCAGCAAAGATGAGAGGGTGGGTAAATCCTCGTATGCGGGCGGTCTGTTCCCATTCCCAGGTCCTACTCGCCATCGGGGATGAAGGGGGAGAACAAGGGGGGCGCGCGGGGTATACACATCGGTGGCAAGCAGAGAGAGAGAGGGGCAAAAAAGCTTGGGGCTCGTGGATTTGAGAGCCGAGTGGAGCATGCGGATCACATGCATTGCGGCCTTGAATGAGCACAATGGTATGAATTTAGTGCGATTTGTTAGTGACGAAGAAAGAAGCCCCACTATTAGTGTCACAGTAGATGTTTTCTGGGTAAGACCACTAGACGATTTTTGACGTGCACAGCCAGCCAGTAGGGCAAAAGTTTGCCACCAGCGCCAAATCTATCTGTGGCATCCGCGCAAAATCCGCACACCGGCGTTTTCTACTCCAATCGTATCTTTGATCTTTGATCCCACGAAGTGGATTACTCCGCCTCCAAAAACTTCTCTCTCGGTGGCACAAAGTTGACAGCGCTCGACAACCGTTATCGTTCAAAAGAACTCGTCCGTTGCGCGGCAGAAGCAATGTTAATGCGCAGTGGTGGCGTAGCACTGCGAAGCTGCAACTGCTGTGCTTACAGATGGCCTGATCCGAAGGCTAGAAGGTGTGCTGGCTCCGGCCCTTGCCAGAACTCATCGGGCGTGAAGGATGTCCGAACCACCAGGGCGTTGAAAACGCGAAACGCTACGAGAACGGTAAGCAGCTTGGCTCCTAGAACAGGCCTGAGCTGTCGACGGTCCCACGCCGCCCCCATAGCTAGCTGGAGAGCGCCGTGGCGGAGAAGTGGTGGGTGCAGACTTTGTTGGCGGCGACCGGGGCAACCAGACAGGAAGTGTAGGGGTGCGTTTGCCAGTGCTGTCTGCAGAGCCCCTTGTCATGACCTCGACTTGTGTTGTCGACTTGACAGACTGACTGCAACCACTGCGCGCACAGCTCTGAGTAGCCGATCCGGAGGCCACATTCGGGGTGTGTACTCTATCGCCCATACCGTCTGTTGGACCCTAGTCTCTGCAATTTCTGTTCCAGGAGCCGGTTGCTTTTAGGAGCTCGGCCGGGTGTGCGGTTTTGCGGCTACATACAACAGCAGACAAATCATACACAACAGCAGCAGCAGCAAGCATGGTGCGGATGGGGGAGCAGCTTCCCGCGCAGGCGAAGAGCTTCATCTCCACCGCGGTGGACGCGAGCGAGGAGGTGGCCAGCCAGCTGGCCTCCGCCTTCCGCGTCGATGTGGACTCCTCGGACGTGTCCGAGGTGGCGTCGCTGCTGGCGAAGGAGCTCCGCAGGGACGCCTTCCTCAAGGCCAACGGGGCCAAGTTCGAGAGGGAGCTGCACGAGAAATACGGTGTGCTGAAGGATGTCATCCTCCACCCGACCGTGCAGGTACAGTATGTCGGCGTTTGGGGTACGATGTGATTGGAGGTGCCTTTTGCTTCCTGTGGGCGGTCTCGCGGTTGTTGGTTTGCCACACGTGTCGGCCTCCTGCGACAGCAGCAGCTTTTTAGGTCGTATCCGAAGTTTGTGGATGCATACGTTGGTGTCGACCTGCCCGTGGAGCCGTGCAACGCTGCGGCAGCAGCAGATACGTACGAGTCATTTCGCGGCTGTGTGTAGCTCCTAGATGGTGCGTGTGAAGTGCCACTTTGTTCCATGCTTACTCAGCCGTCGACTCCTGGCCCTGTGGACTTCACATGTGCATGTTGAACGTTGACTCGAAATGAATGTTCTCGCACGCGTTGTAGATGCGGGCTGATTCACACCCACGTGCGGTAGCTGCTAGCTGTTTGTAACCCCCGGAATCTCTGCCTGGGCTGCTTTCTATCAGCGCTCGCAAGATTTCCTTCTCGCGTTCTCGGTATATGCAGTAGCATGATGCTGGTCCTGCTGTGTTCTGTGCGGTATGTAGCTGGACGACGAACACGAGGCGGGCAGAAAAAAATTGCGAAGTACATGTATGCGTACATACTGGTACGGCACAGGCAGTGATCCATAGGCAGTGATCTACAGCAGTACAGCAGTACCGCCACCGAGAGCTCACGGCTCCCTCCCTCCCTCCCTCCTGTGGGTGTTCTGTACTCACACTTGCTGAGCAAGACACTTTGATTTGTGTTCCCTCATGTTTTGCACTGGTACTTTCCCGTCAGGCTTGTAAGACATGTGCCGTACTACAGTACGACCGTAGTAGTCCGACCCTTAAGTTGGGTATCATACGCGTTATGTAGTGTCGACGGTTTATGGCCGATTCCCGCCGGCAACACACGGAAGACTACGTTCCCCAGTCACACGCTCGCTGCAAGGCAAATATGCTAGCCGAGGAGATGCTGCGCGAACACTGCTTCGTGTTGGTGCTTTCTCTTTCTCTGCAGGTGTTCTGAATCAAGGCGCTATGCCCGGTAGGGGGGGGGGCGCTGACTAGAGTATGTGCCCACGTTTTTTTTTCTCGCTACTGTTGTACAAGGCTGCCGTTTTTTCAATGGTCAGCCCGTTCATAGCGGTTGGTGATGGCCATTGCGACACGCACAAACACCCCCCCCCCATGAGGCTGACACTGTTCACATCGGTCAGCCGGTTCGCAGCGCGTCAAAGCATGTAACAATACTGAAGACACAATACTGAAGACACACATGGACCACTGAGAGTTCTCCTGCTTGCCTCCCGCATCCTTTGAACCCCCCCCCCCCATCTCTGTCCGTGCTTGCCCGGCGGTCGGCACCCGACTTGGAATCACGCGAAACAGTGGTTGCTTGGGCTCTGCGCACAGCTCTGGCGGAGCTTTCACCTTTTCGGGAAGCCTCCTCTCGGCACGACGGCGGGTGTGGTCGTCGGCCTCATGATCTACCGCAGGTGGGTCTTTCCTAAAAGCGTCTCTGGTCTCTGGTCTTGTTTTTTAAGTGTCCTTTGGCGTTATTTGGGTGTCTCTGGTCTCATTTTAGTTTCTCTGGACATAGTTAAGTACTGTATCTCTGTTGTGCGCAACTGGTGCGCAGATTAGAAATTTGATGCATGGGCGCGCAACCACCACGCAGTGTCTGGAAGAAAATGGTCGTGTGCTTCAGCGAAAAGGGTTGGTGTTTGGCCGTGGTGGAAGAAATCAGGGGAGCCTTTCGAGCTCGGAAAGACAGTAACGCAACTCTTCTTCCCCACCCGTGGTTTGAGTCCGTGCTACCGCTCATCACGCACGACCGAGTCCCCCTTTTTTTTTTCGCCGAACTTTTCATTCGCTGGCTTGTGTTTTCTCTTTCGACTGACTTCAATCGGGGATCGATATAATGTGGCCGCTGGAGACGCTCGACCATACCCCCCTACATTCGCTCGATTTCGGTGACTTTGAACTTTTCTCCTACGACTGAATTTGATCGGGGACCGATATCTTGCGACCGTTGGAGACGCACGACCCTTTCATGGCCCCGTTTGATTCGCCCGACTTCATTCACTGACGTTCTCTTGCTTACTGGATTTGATCGGGGGGGTCGATCCGGGTTGCTGCCACCGACGACGACGACGACGACGACGACACGCATGCATCGCAGGAAAGTCGGGTTCGTCAACATGTCGCTGGCGGCGGCCGCGCTCTCGGGGCTTAACCCGCTGGTCGTCGTGGCGGTGGCCCTGGCCTGGAAGCTGTGGGCGAGCACCAAGTTCCTCCCCCGCGGCTGCAGGCATAACCCCGAGGTGTGTGCGTGTACATACCGCAACGAAAACACGGCCGCTGTTTTTGGTGCTGGCTATGGCCAGGGGATCGAGTAGGGAGTTAGCGCGCGTGGGTGGGCGATGGGTGCCAGGGGTGACCGGTTCAGAGGTGGCTGGCTGACTGTGGTGGTGCTAAGCGGCAGGCTGTTTAGCTGCGTCATGCTGCGACAGTAGCTCCCTTCACTTTGCGGTGGTGTTGACTGATATGCATGTACCCTGCCTACGCAACTGCTGTTGGTTGGTGGTGTTTCCGCCGCATTTTTGTTTTGTGTTTGTCGTGTGCCCGCTTTTAATAGTACGAGGCCCCTGAAGATCTCGGCGCAGACAAGCTTTCCGACGACTTCGAGCCGGCGAAGGTGTCCACGGCCCCGGGCGAGGAGTATGACCACGTCGTCGTGGGGTCCGATCTTGGAGGTGAGGGGGAAGGGGGGGGGGGGGCTCCGTGAAGTGCTTGGTTGTTGGGTGACGCCTCGCCGCTTCCCCCACTCGGCTGCCTGCGTTTTAGCCCCAAAGCAGCATCTCATATCGGCTTGTCTGCCTGCGTGAGCTTTCGTTTTCTTCTCTTTCGGGTGTAGTGTATTCACTAACAGGATTTTTCGTATGTATTATCTAACTATGTTGGATGAAGCGGGGAAGTTGAGTTAGGGATAGGGGTAGGGGTAGGGATAGGGTCTGTGCACCCCCCCCCACACTCTATTTCCTTATAATTTCTCGCGAAGGCAGTCCATTGTGCTAGGACCTGTGTACTTCGGAAAACAGTCAGTTTCCTGACATTAAAATCCTGCCGCCGTCTCTCGAAAATGCGGCCCCCATCTTCCGCGCGCGGGCCGCCCCTCGTTCTTCTCCTGACTCCCGCCATCATCCCCACGTAACAATTACAAACCCACACGCAATAAAAGGTCTGTTCTGTGCGGCGCTTCTCTCGCGGTGCGGGCGGCGAGTGCTGGTGCTGGAGCAGGGGCCGCTCGCCGGCGCTGGGGCGGTGGTGAAGGCTCCCGCGGGGGCCGGCGGCTGGGAGTTCGAGACCGGGGTGCAGTGCCTGGGCGGGGGGGACAAGCTGGGGCGGTTCATCGAGAGGCTGCAGCTGGCGTTCCTACCGGCAGACGAAGGGTCTGGGAAGGGTGAGTTTGTAGAGGTATGTGGTGGACGGGGAACACCAATCAGATTTTGCTGTAGCAGTTAGGTGTTGGGTCCGCCGCCTGCCTTGCCTCCTCCAACTTACAGCACAGCAGAGGTCAGCGTGTCCGCATATCAAAGAGAGTTCGACACGCATGGCTACATACCATCGATGTGCTCGCACACCGTGTTTTTTTGTTGTTGTGACTTTGTGAGGTCCGTGCAACAGGATTTAAGGCGCATGCAGGTCTTTGTCGCATGAATACCCTCGGCATATGCGACGTGTTTTTCGAGGCCGACCAGTTCGGTTCAATTCTCATCAAACACATTACACAATCCCCCCCGGAGTATACGAAAAGATCTTCAGCGCGCCCATTGCCCCTTGCGTAAGTCTGGCGTTGGTCTTGCCGCCAATGAAATCACGACGGGCGGGGTAGTTGCACGGCGTTTCCTTTATGCGCTGCGGATGCGGCAAATCCGGGCATGCAGCAGGCAGGGCGAGAAAAAGGAGCGCCTCGAGACACCATGGAAGGCGTAGATGGGCTGCCCAGAAGTGCAACATGGTTGTTCGCTGGTGTTCGATCTGGTCCGCGCGTTTGCTGACTTTTTATTAGGCAAAAGTCAAGACTTTTATCAGGCATCTCAGACATGGAAATTTGTGTCAGGCAAATGACTTCAGGGCTCCCACCTCTACGGGCAGACCTCTTCGGAATATTTGTCCATCTTGTTGTTTGATTGATAACCAGCTGCATACGTCGATCCCGACGTTCTCTCCCCCCCGCCGTCGCACACCCTTTTGATTCAACTCTTTTGTCACATTATCCGACTGCTGCCCCCCCCCCCCCCCTCCCGCTGTTTCGCTCTAAAGAGAAACTCAAGTGGGAAAAGGTGGGCCGGCTAGAGTCGGACCTCTGCGTTCACGACATGGTGTCCGTCGGGGACGGGAAGCAGACGGTTCTCTTCCCGGCCGAGCAGGAGAAGCTGTTGGAGTCGCTCATGGCACAGGTCAGCGTTCATCCCCCGTGATATCCTGTCCCGCTGCTGGTCTGTCCTACCTTAGCAGGGAGGGCTGGTGGTACCGTACCCCCACATAATACAGACCATCGCGCGTCCCCGACTCCCGCCATTGCAATACCATCGTTACACGCGACACCGAAGGCGTAGATGAGCCGTCCGGAGGTGCGCTCCGCCCTTGCGGTGGTTCGGTGGTCTTCAATATCGCCCGCGGCCTTTTTTTTTTCGTTTGATGTTAACCGGCGGTATTTTCGTCCCCTTCGTTGTCCTCCCCATTTCACAACCCTTGTGGTGCAACTCTGTCCGTCCGACGCATCTTTCCGCCATTCTCTCCCTCCCTCCCTCCCTCTCCAAGTTCCCGGAGAGGCGACCGTTCTTCCGAGCGTTCTTCGGCCAGGCGCAGAAGGAGAAGGAAGGGGGATCGCTGGCGTACTACCTGCTCAAGCTCTTCGCCTCCAGGCCGGCGAGGTGGCTGGACAGGGTCGTCGTCGGCCTTCTCGCGACCGCCCCGGCCATGGCTCACGTCGAGATCGCCAAGCGCAGGTACATGTGCATAGATAGGTCGGTAGGTGGGCGGTGGATCGTCGGCAGGTCGGCCGGACAGGTTTCGGTCCATGGAATGTAACCGCCTCGTGATGTACCGATCGTTCAGCCGCAACTTGCTGCTGCTGGTGTTGTTTTTTTTCTCATGTTTTTATTTCTCCCGCTTTGTATGTCGGATTGTTTGTTGTTCGTCAAGAGGTTGAGTCGGTGTGCCTGTTACGCCTGGCAAACGAGCCGAGCGTGCGCGTTTTCGCTCTGGTCTTGGCAATTTTAATTCACACTGGATACACATGCTTCTGTCGCGGTGAAACAGCGCCTCCTCCTCCTCCTCCTCCTTCTGACGGGGACTTTTTTTTGCGTGTTTTGTGTGTCGTTTTCGTCGTAATGAATCCCTTGTTGTGCGCTTGGTTCTCGCGGCCTTACTTGTTCCTCTTCAGCGTGTCGGAGATGATGAAGGCTATGCTGAAGACGCAGCCTGAGGGAAACGACGACTTGGAGGCCGCGCAGGCCGCCCTGTGCGCCTTGTTCAGGAGCGAGAACCTGGCGCCTTCCAGGGTGCGTTGCGCGTGTGGTGTAGAGCCTCATTGTCATATATATACACACACACACACCGGCTGGCGATGGCGGATCCCTGAGCTTGCTCCTATCACGGCTGCTGCTGTTGCTGTTGCTGTTGTTGGCTCCTCATGCCCACCTCGTGAAATACGCCTTGTTGCCCGAGTAGGCCGAGGGTGCCAATTGAGGATTGAACCGGGAAGGAGGCCGAAAGGGAGGTGTCCGCAAGGTCGTGCGGGCTGTACCGCCCCCCTCCGTCCCTTCGTCCCTCCCTCCATCTCTCCCTCCACCGGTATGGGAGGGAGACTATAGGCAGGCTGCGGTTTCGCTACGTTGCCCAAGTATCATTTGCATTTTTTTAACACGGATGAGCTCCTCTCTCTTTCCGTGTAAAATGATGTACGGCCGTGATTCTCGTGGCAGGTGTCGTGCGCGGCATTGATGGGACAGACGAGCTCTGCCTGGGGAGGCCTGTATCACCCGCGAGGAGGCTTCAGGTGGGGATATGGGATAAGATCGATTGCCGATCCCGCTACTGCTGCTTCTTGCGGCGGCGGCGTTGAAGATTTCGGTGTCACCGCGTATGGTATCGTCGGTTTTTGGTTTGGTTCTTGGCCATTGCTCTTTCTCTGCTTGTCTTGCCTCCCGCATCCTTGATCCCCCCCCCCGTAGCCTGGGTCGGCGAAAACCGGGTATATCGCTACGTCCCGGTGTTTGTAGGGATACGAGGTCAATGGTCTAGCGCCTACGGCATGCGTTTACACCACCCTCCCCGCACTTCGCACTTGGTGATGTGAAAGCCTGGTCCGGTGAGAACCCGGCGTGCTGCGTCCCCGCTTGGTAGGGATACGAGGTCAATGGTCTAACAACAACGGTATGCGTTTACATGAGTACACCCCCCCTCCCCCCCCCTCGTTAGGGCGATCGCGGAAGAGCTCGTGGACTCCATCCACGCCTCCGGGGGCCGCGTCCTCACGCGCGCCAAGGCGACCTCGGTCATCGTGGGGAAGGAGAGGGCGGAGGGCGTCACGGTAGTCCGAGAAAGCGGGGGCGGGGGTGGCAACGGCTCTGCCGCTGCGGCGGCGGCAGCGGCAGCGGCGTCGGCCGTCAACATCATGGTCGCCGGAGACGGGTTGGGGTCGGTGATATCCTCAATCGGCGTTATCGACACGTTCCGCGGGCTGTTGCCCCGCAAGTCGGCGCTGACGACGAGGGCGGCCAGTGGTGGCGCGACGACCGCGGCGGCGGGCGATGGGCCGGCGGCGGCGGGGACGGCGGGCGAGACCGTGACGGCGCTGGGGGAGAAGGACGGGGAAGGGTTGGACCCGGCAGGGTTCCGGATCCTGAGGGCTGCGCGACCGCGGGTCCACCTGTGCGTGGGGCTGCAGGGCAACTGGCTGGAGGACCTGGATGGGACTAGCTCTTATGTACACCACGTGAGTGGGTTGGGTTGGGTTGCCGCTGTGAGAGGAATAGTTTTTTGTGGAGAGAGGGCGCGTCTAATAGTTGTTGCCGGCGGCAGCGACTGGCTGCACCGGTGGCCGGGGAGAGAGGCAAGGGGCCAGCCACGCGATGGACGAGTAAAAAGCAAGCAGGCATAAAAGGCATCAGTAAATCGGGTGCTAGACTCTGTCACCAAAATTTACCAATAGCTGGTATGTATGTTGCGCCAATGGGCATGCCCGAACAAAAAAAAGTAAAAAAGGCGAAACATGACCCCCGCTCGGTCGACCGAGCCTCATCTGCTAAAGTTGATCTTGAACATACATAGTACTTCGAGAGTAATCGTAAGCATCGCCACGCCAAGTGATCGCTGGACGAGCAAACTGGATCAATCAACACGAGTGTATCGCCAGCGATGTATCCCGATCGACGGGCCGGCAACAAAAGCATCCCATCCCCGACCGAAACTGAGGCCTCCTACGCTCTGCAAGCGACGGCGACAACGCACACGGCCAGACGTTCAGCCTGCTAACGTGGGCGTGGCCTGCTGTCGGTTATGTGTTCGTCTCGCTTCAACAGGTTCGCGACTCGATGGTGGAGGGCGGCGGCGGCGGGGGGGGGCACGAACGCCACGAGGGGAAGCTGCCGGACTGGTGCCGGATAAGCTTCGGCGAGTCCAAGGATTCCGCCGGGTGGAAGAAGGAAACGACGAGCGTGGTGGTGACGGCGGAGATGACCGAAGGTGGGTCCGGGCGAGCAAGCGCACGGCCGACCGTGCGGACGGTGCGGAGAGCGGTGGCCTCCTCCACTCTCTCTTGGGGTTCATGATGCTGTTGTTGTTGTTGTTGTTGTTGTTGTCTTCACAGACGTGTGGCCCTCCTTGTTGTTGTTTGTGCTTGTTGTTGTTGTTGTTGTTGTTGTTGCTGCTGCTGCTGCTGCTGCTGCTGCTGCTGCTGCTGCTGCTGCTGATGGTGATGATGACATTGTTCTGGTGGTGGTGGTGGTGGTGATGTTTATTTGTCGTGTTGTATTTGTTGTTGTTTCTGTTCTTGTTGCTGTCGTAAGTTTGTGAGTGTCTTCGTGCCGTCGCGGAAGTGCTACGCGAACTTGGAAACGGCATCGTGCCCCGGTTTGATGTTGATGCGAGAGCTGCGTGCACGTCGTACGTATTGTACGCTTGTCTTTCCCTTCCTTCTGATGAAGATCCTTCTATCCTCCCTATGTGCGTCATATCCATCATAAACGCCTTCTTTTTTTTTTTCTCCTTATAATATTTCGCGTGTTGCCCATGGCGTGTAGACACGCTTCGTTCTGGACGAGCACTACAGCCATCATAATCGCCTTTGTATTTTCGCGTGTTCGCCGCACGCGCTGCAGTCATCATAATTGCCTTTGTATGTTTCCCCCCTTACATTTTTTTTTTTACATTTCGCGTGGTTGCCGCGTCGTCGACACGTGTGGGACGAGAGCAGAGATGGCGAAGTTGACGATCGACGGTGTCGGGAGCACGAACGAGCCGATCGGGCCTCTCCGATACACGGTACAGCCGGGACGGTCCGGAAGGGAGCGCCTGCGAGAGCGGCTGCTGCGGCGCCTGCATCAAGACTTCCCGCAGACTCAGGTGTGAGGGTGGGGTGCTTGGTACGAGCGGCGAGCGTGTGCGTGTGCGTGTGCGTGTGCGTATGCATATGTGTGTGTGTTTTTTTTTTTGTTTTTTTTTGTTATAATAGCATCGACCTCACTAACCGGCTGCGTGTGTGGGTACATGTTTATTTCAGAATCGGACCCCGCTTACCGGCTGACCAATGAGGTTTCGCCAATCTCAGTGCGGCGGAAAACGTTTACGTGCCTTCTGAAAGGTCATGATCTGGGGCCCCGTGAGGGGGCGTCGTGGGGGAGGCTAAGCTGCCCTTCGGATTAAAGACAGAAATTTTTGTGTTTGTGAGTCTTTGACTGTTAGCATCGGCAGCGCTAACTGGGTGACCAATGAAATTCGCAAAGTCTCAATGCGGCTGACAACGGAAACGCTTCTCGAGACCACGGTCTCTGTGAGTGTGTTTATTTGTTTCGCGTCGACCGCGCTAGCGGGCTGACCATTGCAAGGAAGTCAATCAAGTACCAAGAGCGGGGTAAATGGCGTGTGCGTGTCGGGTGCTGCACTCAGCAGAGCGGACTGCTGTGTCCGATGGGTCGTGGATGATTTTTTTTCGTCGAACAGTCCCGGCCCTTTTCGGTTATACTTGAAGCCATCGAACTTGTCCGCAACAGCGGTCGTTTCGGCTTGGCTAAAATTGGGTGCGAGAAGGCCAACGGGGTAGACGTAAAGAAAAAACCCCTTGTGATGCGCCAGAGTGAGACAGCCTTCCTCTTCTTCCGAAGACACACCGAATTTCCCCCCCACAAGCAATCCCGCCCGCCGTAAGAAGACCACTATAATATTGTGTTGAGGCTCCGCGTCGACACCCTTTTGGACCTCTCGTGACGGCTGGTTGGTCTAAAAGAGGTGGTATGGTATGGTATGGTATGGTACCTGAACGGAGATTGAAACAAACACTCGAGCTATAGGAGTATATTGCATGACAACAGCTTAAAACGTCTCGCGGCCCTGTATCCCGTGTTGTTACCTCCCCCCCTATTATGTCGTCGAAGTAGGAAGGAAGGAGCGATTGTCCATCGATGATCAGTCCTGTCGGAACAATGCTCCGTCCTCTCGAGGGCGCGTGGGCAACGGTACAGCGAAGGAGTGCATGAGTATCCCACCTCCCTCCCTCCCCCCCCCCCCCCTTCCCTTCCCTCCCACCCACAGGGTCGTGACGAGTTCATCATGCTCGCAGAGCAACCCAGAGCCGGGCTCTCGGAGGGACCGGAGCGGTACCTGGCCAAGGGGGTGCGCGCGCCGACGAAGGTTCCCGGATTTTTCTTGGCGGGGGAGGACCTGACCATCAGCGGGATGGAAGGAGGCGTCATGGGGGGGTGAGTGAGGGAGACGGGTGGAACAGAGACGCAGCATCACCCGGCATTTTGTTGGCCTTTTTTTGGAGGGGGGGGAAGGAGGGGGGGGGTGCACTCATAGTCGTGCATGCCGTAGTCGTTAGACCATTGACCTCGCATCCCTACAAAGCCAGTACGGAGCACGCCGGGTTCTGACCGGGCCAGGCTCTCACATCACCAAGCGCGAAGCGCCGTGAGGTATTCGGCGAGTCGCATGAAGGGTGCGCTGCATCCTGCTAAGGGTGTTCGGTATCTTGTGCTTACTTCATTGCGTACGGATGACAGCTGCGTATGACTTAATTTATTTTCTGGTGGTTTCACTTCCAGAGACAGTTGTAAGCACTGTGTAACTGCCTCGAGGATGCTTGATCATTTAAACACAACGTGGCGCGATCATCCCCCTTGCGCGGAGTGAGGGTTATCGACCCCGCACAACGTAATCGAGAGGGTTAAGGTTGTCGGCTTTGTTGACTGGGTACTGGAGCCATCCGTTTTGCGCTACACCCGTTTAGTGGTGTTCCGGGTGTTTCGCCCTTGAGGTCTCCTTTGTTTTGTTGCATGCGGCTGCTGTTTCTCAGGCCAGTTTGGCGTGCTGTTGTCTTTGGGAACACTTTTTTCAGGAATTGTGTGCGTGCGTGTTTTGCTCTTTTTGTCCTTTCTGTCTGCCGCCTGTCGCTGTTTGTTGAACCAAGAACGGTGACGTGCCGTCCGTGTTTCCTCCCGCGCCGTTGCTTCTGCGCTCTCCCCCCCCCCCCCCCAGATGGATAGCGGCGCACGCCGCTCTGGGCTACACGCCGACGGACATGTTCCTCCGCAGGAGAAGTCTCGCCTCAGACATCCCCAACCTCGACAAGCTACGGCGGTAGAACCCTCCATAGCGTGTGTGCTGCAAGGAAGAGCTCAGGAATAAGAATTTCCGCTAGAGGAAGGGTGTGATGCTGCTGCTGTGTAACAGTCCCGCTGTTTCCAAACATGCTGCCTGCCTGCCTGCCTGCCTACCGTTGTCATGGTGTCAGTGCGATTTTGTTTGTTGTTTTCGGGAGGGAGGGGGGTGGGGGGGAGAGGCTCTTCGCCCGATTCGGGAGAAGAAGTGGTTTCGTCGCGTTCTTGGCGTCTCGATCGACTCGTTCGTTTGTGCATCGCTTCGAACAGACGAAGTCCTTCTTAGTTTTTCGCGGGGAACCGGTGACCGATCGCGGCACAGCCGAGCACGTGCCGCTACAACTCGGCAGACCAGTGAGATCCTTCAAGTACAACAGTATTCACTACGTTGTTTCTGATGGCGTGTGCAGGACGAACGGCTTATTCTTTTTCGCGGAGAACCGGTGACTTACAGTATATTCAAGCACAGCCGGGCACGTGGTGCAGCTGCAGGTTGGCAGACCACCATTGACGTCTAAAAGTGCTGCTTAGTTGCAGAAGGTCGGTCTTGGCTTGGTTTGTCGATACGCCCAGCGCGAGGAGGAAACACGCATTTTTTGGGGGGGGTTGAGGGGTGGGGGTGGGGGTGAGTGGGGGCTTGGGGTTCGTTTCCCAGATTTTGGTGTGTTTTTGGTGGGGGGTGGGGGGGTACAGGGGACTTTGAGGACTCGGAGATTGAGACGAAAAAAGAAGCTTGATTGAATGGAATCCCGTTCTTCCGCGGTGCCTTGAGGACACGGGGGGGTGGTGCGGCGCTGCACATCGGCCAGGACGGACCCCCTTTGATGTTGTGGGTGATTACTTTCGCGCATGGTTCTCTCATTGCCTGCGGTAGGTTGGACCTTACGAAGTGGGCGGAAAGACAGATACTTGGAAGATATCCTGCTCTGGTGCTCGTACAGCGTATGTGCTCACCGCGATCTATGGGTGGGTGACGTCGCGATGTCCTGGCGAGTAACCGCTCCGATGATGTTATCCTGTTTGAAGCAATACTCATCATCACCAGCACCCGAATGATCACGAGTTTGTTGTGGTTCCCTCTGTGCTTCTCTAACAGAAGGAAATCTCACTGCTGTTGCTGCTATCTTGTGGCGGAGAGAGAGGTTGCCGTCCTTTTCTTCTGTGTTGCCATAACAATCTCGTGCTTTTCGTGGCTCACTTCTCCTGGTCAATAGTGTTATTTTGTTATTTTGGAATGTACAACTTGTACGATAAAGGGAACTAACGGACATCTGACTTGAGTCCTTCCCACGTTAGGAAAATATTTGGCTCGAGCACCCGAGAAGGAAACGGCGTAGAAGAAAAAAACTCTTCATCTACCCAAGAACCACCACCAGCAGTGGAATTCTTCTTTATTTGTTGTTGACATACAACATCGTTTTCGTACATCAACTAAAATACTCGCACCTCGCACACACAACGATAAGTAGCCAGGATCAGACATCCTCTCTGGGGAGCATGGATCAGATATATGTGTGCCAGCATCCAGCACAATCTTTCATACTCCGTCCTACAAGCAACGAGTGTGCAGGACTTGAATATTAATTCCTGGACCTCCTGCGGCATGTCTCAGGTGGGGATCTTCCAACAACATCACAGGAAATGACCACTTGTACCCCACATATTTACTGGGCCCCCTGCCCCCCACCCCCCACCGGCCCCAATCTGCAACACACAGTGTGGCAGTGACTTCATCTTGCCGACGCAGAGGCAGGTGCCACTTCATCTTTCTACTACAGTGCAGCGTGGTGGACTAAAACAAACTGCGTGCCTCGAGCTACGGTGAACCCTCAAGCAACCAGAGGTCCCTTGAAGCCGCTCGCTTTGAAAGCGGTGCACAGGATAGACTGCACGGGGAAGGGGGGTGCGATCAGTTGTTGAACCTGAGTGCGTACGCCGAAATCAAAAAGGAGAGTTGAGGCACGGCGAAGGGTCATCCGTCGTTTTGTGTGCGCGTTGCGTTAGTGAGAGAGAAAGCGATGATGAAAGCGTCACCACCACGACGACGACGCGCGGCAGCACGGCGCGCGCCGCGGCGAGACGCTGCGGCGGCCGCGGCAGTCGCCGCCTCGGCGGCCCTCGCGCTCGCGTGCCTCGTCCTGCTGAGCGCACCGGTGCCCTCTGACGGATTCTTTCGACCCAGGCCAAACATCAAAGAGCCGGGCTTGGGGGACAACGGAGTCAACGTCTTCCCCAGGAACACTAGGCGGCCCGCCCCGCTCTGCGATCCTGCTGGTGACGGAGCACTGCGAGCGACGGTGCCGATGATGCCGTCGCATCAGGAGCGGGGGAGTAGCTGTTCCGGGCCGACGAGGATGCCGTTGCTGGTGATGCTCGGGTCGGCGGGGGAGAGCGAGTTTGAGAAGGAGGAGGAGGAGGACGGGGAGGAGGACGGGGAGGGCCAAGAGGATGGGGTGCAGCTCCCAACGGTTGAAGTACCGGAAATGATGAGCGAGGAGGTACGTGCGAGAGTTCTAGCGGTCTCCCCACGTTCTGTAGAGCACCAGCGTCAGCAGCGGCACGTACTAGTGGTGCCGAGGATTGATTGTTGTTTTCCATCTTCCATCCAATATATGAATGTGCTTTGATCGGCACACCCGGCACTCGGCTCGCACGTATCTTACATGGCATCCCTCAACAACCAGGTGGTACAAGTACAAGGTTGACAGAAGTCTCCCGCAAAGAGCATGTGTGTTGTGCTGTACGCCTCCCTTGCCCACCCCCCTCGAGCTTTTTCTCTCGTAACCCTAACCTGTTGCCCAAGTAAGTTCCCGTTTGTTGCTGCTCATCGCCAGCAGCAGCAGCAGCAGCAGCAGCAGCCTTCGAGGATTTTCTGCTATCGGAGATTGTGCCAATTCGAAAAAAAAACACGCATGATGATGATGGGCGGCTGAAGTTGCACAACAGCTACATTTTTTTTTGTCAGTCCCCCCCTTCCCGCACCACGAACAAAAGCACGAAGCGTGCCTTTACTCCCCGGCCCTCCTTGCATGCTATAGCTGTCGGCTTTGGCGTGTTCATATATACTACGTACCGGTAGAAGGGTGCAATGGCGGGCGTGTGGTATTTTTTTCATTCCCCCGCTTTTGCCATGACGTGCCACCACCCTCTCGTCTCTGCGTGTACCAAGGGTGATGTGGCGAAGGCAAATCTTGCGTTTTTTATATCGTTGCGCCTCTACGCACCGCACTGGAGCGTGCAATGAATGAGAAGGCAAACAGGATGTACAGTCCCCAAAACTACGGAAAGTGTTGTTTATGTGTTCGTCGAAGTGGCAGTCCAGGCTGCTGTTGTGCTTTTCCGTCAGGACCCATCTGGTACTGCTTGTATTTGCTGTACGCTATCTACGAGTCAGAGTTTGCTCACGTGTGTGCCGCAGTAATGATCTCTTTTTGAAACTCTCTGTGCATACATAGATACTTCTGTGCTGTTGAGCAGGGTAGAGTATTGCTGTACTACGCGAGCAAAGAAAAGCTTTGTCTCTCCGTGGGCGACAACGGCCTCCGCACGCAATAGTCGTGGTGTCAGGGAGACCCGCGTGTCAACGCCGGCAGAAACGATACAGAGAGGGGCTAGGTTGCGCGTTCCATGTAGTTGGGGGGATCACGCGCTCGGTCTTCTATTGTACGTCGGCTGCCGTGCCTACGCGATACTGGTACACACCAGCCTTCCCCTGCAACAGCAGTTAGATGGTGGTGGGTTCGGTGGGCGCCTACTTTTTTCTTGTGGTGACTCCCTGTCTCTCGTCTGGAGCGATCCTCGGCATGCTTTTTTCGAACCTCCCTCACAGCCAACACTGCGTTTTGCGCTATTTAGTACCACGTGAAGCGCACCCTTTTTATCTTTTTGTTCCACCTTTCAGAGCAATCGTTGACATAGCCGGGCTCATCGATGAAGCCCGATGTCGCTACTCGGTCATGGCCAAATCACTGGGTGATCGCTGTCTTTCGGCAACAAGTAGCACTATGACAGCAGCAGCAACATCAGCAACATGTTCGGGTGCTTGCCACGACACCATGTTCTTGGCACAAAGTCGACAAAACCCGAGGTGGTATTGCGCGTATATCTTGACACGTGTCATTGCAGGGGGGGAGGGGGGGGGGGGCAAAGATATGGTACATGTTTGAAAGATCCTGTCCAGAGACGTATTTCTTGCCGAACATGCTAGTTTTTGTGTGGGCTGTCGGCTCCTTGACGCGTGTAGTCTGTCCAGGGTCAAGTAACCTTGCGTCAAACCGGACGACTAGCTGATCGGTCGTCGCCCTGTATAGCCCGGACGGAAGCAGCACTCTTTTTTGTCAGCTACGCATGGTCAGGGTTGTTACCCCCGCTGCGACGACTGCCCCCCCCCGTGGCAAGTGTAGTGTCCGGCAGCTGCATCTCGACAACTCGGCAGACAAGACGCGGATGTCCCATGTTTTGGTTGCCTTTTCTTTCATGCTCCCCCGTCTGTAGGTCGATGTTTTCGTGTGTTTGCCCCCCACCTCTCTCCTATTGTGCATATGCAGTCACAAAATACTTGGGCGTACGATGCTGCTTCATTGTGCCGTGCTCCGCATACTCCAGACAGAACCCCTTTTCTGCCCTCCACCTGCCGCGTCCAAAGAGCGGACGGAAAGTGAGGTTAAGCAATCGACGTCCATACGAATCGGGACGACACACGCATGCACACAAACACGTTTTTTTTTTGTTGGGTCTGCCGGTTATCGCGTTCGTTTTGTATTCAAAGACGCGTGCGCACTATTTAACACAGCAGTGATCATGGCCTTTGGAAGCCCTTCCTGTTTGCAGGTGCGCGGAGACTGATGTCTGTTCAGTGTGTTAGCCTGTTAACACGGTCGATGCTATTTGACGAAACAGACACCGACATTTTGACAGCTAGTATACATGGTTCTCATCCGGAAGCAGTTTCATGTTTCATGGAACACCAAACCCCTCCGCGGACATGCGGATCCTCACGCTACCCCCCCCCC